CTCAGTCCCTGCACTTAGAAAAAATGTGCAATGCATTTTGGCCTTGCCTGCTCTCTGATGTAAAAGCTGTCTATGTGCAAGGTTAGGGTTAGGTTTTTTTTTTTCAAAAGCACAGGGAACATTCAAACATGTGCCACCCCCCCTTGTGAACTGCAGTGGTATATTTGCATGAGGGCTATAGCACATTTAACTGTTTAGATCAGCATTTATTTCACTCCACGAAACAACTACTTCTTAGGGTTTTTTTTCCATTTCCATTTTGTTCCATTGGCTCTTTGAGGAATTCTGGAAAAGCATCACTTGATGCGAGCATGTGATGGAGAAATTCTTATGGTTTGCATGCATGAGAGTTTTCCCTGATCTGTTTGGCCATTGAGTATTCAACATGAACTTCAAGGAAAAGTTCCTGGAAAAAGAAGCTTTGTTGGGGCACAGGACATGGTGCAGGCCATTGTTTTAGCTGGCTGTACTACTACTGCTACTACTAAATTATATTGCTATACTGCCCAATACTTGAAACTTTAAAGATGGATACGTTAAGGGAAGATAAATCTCTGAATGACTAGCATTCATGATGGCTAGCTGCGAGCTTCAGGTTTCAGAGTCAGAATTTAGTCAAACACCCTTGTTGGAGAGCAACAACAAGATTGATCTGCTGGGTTCATACTGTTTGGTAGACGTGAAAGCATGGGGTGGTTATAACTGGAATCTGGCAATATCTGGAACACCCCCTCCCCCAAATAAAAGTTTACGAAAAAGGCTGAGTGATGGCACAATAAAAGCTTGGTCTGAAAGCATGACTGATGAAAGGTCTCTCTCTCTTTCTTTCTCCAGAGTGAGTTTTGTACCCTCTTTGACGTCACGCAGTGCCTTCTTTTGCCTGAAGTAGGCAGCCATTCTGATCATTCCCATGAATGCACAGTCGTGCTTGCCAGCTTTGGAGGAGTATCCTTCCCTCTCTTTAGCCATGAGGATGTATGGTAAGGGATGGCCCCTTTCATCCTGGCATCTGGTCCTCTTGGTAGCCCTGCTCTGTCAGATAAACTCTTCCTTTTGCTGCTACCTGTTGTCCAGACATGCTCATTTTCATTGGATCGCATTTCTTTTGGAGTACTAGGTTTGCATTCCGTCTGGAATCATGCTCTTAGGCCATCTGGGCAACTTTTGGGCACTTTTGATCTTCCAGTCATAACTGGATTCCTCAGCCCCCCACCCCCCCACATACAACACAGTTCTATTGTTTGAATTGAAAGTGGTAGAAGTGGGGACTGAGAAGATAATTTTCCATGTTCACTGTTCCTGAGTGCCATTGTAGCGACTAGATGTTGTTAGAATGTCTAATTGCAGTTGAATGTCAATGGGTAATTGTCAGTGAATGTAGGTTGAGTGGTACCCACAAGAGGAGAGGGAGAAGCAAAGAGAATAGACGCAGAGCCAGTATTTCTTTAAAAGCTCTATGCAAGTTTCACAGGCCACAATGAAACTTTTCACAGGGATACGAACACAAGCAACTATATTCATCAACCCTGAATCTTCTGTTCTTTTGATCCATTATATCTTTTCCTGTTATTCACATTCTCCCAAGTCCCTTTCCCTGCTATTTACCCTGAGAAACATAACAATTGCTTTATCTAGACATGAGTGGGTGTCAGGATTTTTCAGATTGTGAATCATATTTGCACCTTGAGATGTTGGTGGGTGGGGGGTGGGGGTGATGAACAGATGGACTTTAGGTTTCTTTTCCATCCCCTGCCTTAAAATCTTGTTGGTTTTGTCAAGCAATTTGGTTCAGGACCCCGAGGGTGTGGAATGGGCTTCCATGAGAGGTCGTTGAGGCCCCATCGGTGCGGGTGTTCAACATGGTGGGCATGTCGTGAGCAGAGCCGGCTGGTGCCGGAGGTCAGACTAGATGGCCCTGGAGACCCCTTCTGACTCGCTCTGTTTCTATGTTTCTATGTTTCATATCTCCACTTCCCCTTGTATTAAGTGTCACAGCAGCAATAGTTTTTCAGATTTCACAAAACTAGGTGAGATATTTTATTCAGCTTTCTGCATGACAGAGCTTTTATAACAAATACTTGCCTCTAGTATCCCTGGATGGACTGATGCCTTGTGAAGACCTTTCAAGGTAGGGTTCAAAACAAAGGGATTGTTGAATGTCAGATGGACCGTATGCCATGCATGTTTCAAAACAGCCTTTCCAACCTGCTGGCTTCCAACCTGAACTCCCATAATTCCAGTGGCCATCCTGGTGGGACATTATGGGAATTTCTGTCCACCTCCAACACATCTGAAGGGCAACAAGTTGGGAAAGGCTGTTCTTCAGGCCTTCTCAAGGCTTGTTCTAGGGCCAGCATAAGAAAATGTTGAATAGGTAATGCCATTTGTTATTTTTTGAGGAACCAATCCATTCTGGCTTCTTGTTTGTTCCATGACATCAAGCAGACAGGAAGCAGCTGTTTCCTGAACAGGGGAAATGTTTGTAGAAGGTTTCCTTTTGCCACTAGAGGTCTCACTAGCCATTTCTAATGGACAAAGTATTGGAGATGTTTTCAGATTATGGAATCACACTGGTAGAATATAAATACCTGGAAAACTTTCAATTTTATTCCTCTGTTATTCAGGTGTGCTGCTGTTGCCACTGCCCAGTTTAAATTCACAATGATTCTGAAAGGTGCCTTTGCTTTTTAACTCATCCATGATGAACACCAGGATTCTGGTGGGATTAATTATTCTAGTCATTTCTTATACTAATTTGCAAGGATGGAAAAGTACTTCCCACAACAGCTGTCAAGAAACTTAAATTTCCTAACTTGAAAGGCAACCTTAACAAGCAAAACCACAGGCAGACACAGCACTACAGAAGGACAACTGCAGTTAGGCACTGAAGAACAGGAACTTGGTACATGGTAAAGAACTTACAGGACTGCTTTACTGTATTCATGGACCTGGCATGGATCAGCAGGGCCCGCAGTGACACCACATACCCAGAGCAAGGTAGTTGGAAAGTATACTTTTGATGTCTCATGGGACTGTATGGAGTGCATCCTGTAAGCGGTTCTTTTATTTCAGGTCTGAGTGCCTCTTCATATGGAAATGCTGGCAGAGGAAGGAAAAGTGCCTCATATGATGGGAAGGTATACACTGGAGCCTTTTGCTTTTGTCTGGAAGTGCTACAGAAGCAAACATGATTAAATAGATTAGATTTTCTTGAGCTATAACCATTTCTTCACATTTGCGAGAAAAGACAAGAGCTTATAGGAGTCTTCGTGCTTAGTGAAGTGTTTAGGAACCGTGCCTGACGTAGTCCACAACTATTTATGCCCAGCAAAGGGGAAGCACTTAGCAACCTGCAGTGCAAATATGATAAACTCGTGCAATTATACAGAACAGAGGCCACAGCAGCAGCCGTTCCAAACCACCATCACCGACCATGTGGTTGAGTTCCGAGTCTTTCCAGGCAATTATTCTGTTTGTTCCTTTAATAAGACATGTAACCAGCAATCAAAGTGTCTACAGTGTGGGACCAAACTCTTGCAAGTGGGCCCTTCTCTCTTTTCCTTCCTTTCCTTAACTGCAGTTAACCAGTTAACCAGGAAAGAAGATATGCCTCAGGCAGGGTGATCCAGCTCATATGGTTATTGTTGACTAGTGATTATTCATTCTGGTTTCCTTACTATGTGTTTATCATTTATGTAAACCTCTTTGGTAGTTGATGGGAAACCAGCCTAGAAACCTATGTAAAATAAATATATATCTTCTTTACTTGACCTTGTACTTTTTTGGGCTGCAGGTTGTACTGTCCGCTTATAGATTTTTATGAGAAATCTTTTCAGTATATTTTTGTTGACTATGTATGTACTTAATGCTTTTTATTGTATCCACTTTGTATACTTTGCATCTTGCCTTCCATCCTGAGAGGGTTACATGCTTAATTAAAGGCAACCTGAAAACAATGTTAAATTAAAATGCATTCAGCAGCATCATTCCTAAGCTGGGAATCCCAGGCATCAAGGGTAGGCATGGCTGGGCCCATCTCCAGCAGGACCAGGATTTCTCCTCTTTACCATTGCAACCCACTTGTGCATCTGCTACTTGCGGTGGCCCAGGCATGGTGTAGTGAGGAGGACTAGTGAATGCCATGGCCTCCTGGCTCCCTGCCTGTCAAGCAAGCAAAGGGTAGCAATGATGTGGAAGGGCATGAGGGGCAAGAGCAGCTGGAAGAACCACAGTGAGGAAGCCGTTTCATTGAGAGAGGGAGCCCATGGATGGGGTCCTGCCAAAGGGCCCTCCGAAATCTGCAGCTGGGGCCATCATTGGTGTCTGAACAGGGCAGCAAAGCTTCTTGTATTATTGGCCCTAGAATGGGACACACACAAAGTATTTGGGCTCCATTTCAGGCAGCAGAATATACTTTGCCAGCACTCTGTGTCATGCCCTGAGCCTGGATCTTCAGCAGAGCCTCCTTCCTGGTTCCACCACACACGTCCTGACTTGCTTCTTGTTGAGATCATCATCTGCAGAACCAGAGCCACTCAGCTAGTGTAACTGCACTGCCCAAAGATACAGCTTCTCTTGCCTGCACTGTCTCCTGCTGATGCAAAGCTCTGTCAGGGTCTGCTCCGGCTCTGCATGAGCTTTTTCAAGCAAGAAAAAGGTGCTGATTGTTTGGTTTTTCACAGTTTCCCTGAAACTAATCACTCTCTCATCATTAAGGCAACTTAATGATTAGCACAGGAATACGTGAAGATCTGATGCACAGCCGCTATTAAACACTAGGAGAGCTTGACTGCATTTTGACCATTGGTGAGGCATCCTGTGTCAGTGTTAATGAGGCGAGCCGGGGAAGCATGGCGTGGGGCATGTTGTAGCTGGGTGACTTGAACCAGGAGCAGATCTGTGTGTGTGTGTGTGGGGCGGGGGGGTCCTTTGCTAGGTTGGGAACCGCACAAGAAGACTGAATGTGAACATATGCATGGGCTTCCAAGGCTAAACGCCCATCTGCAGATGCTGCTGGGCATTTGCATGGCTCTTCACTTGCAGACTTGGGCTTCTTGACATAGTCAGCAATTGCATGCGAATACCTCTGCTACATCAGTGCCCCCCAGTGTCTTTATTCCAGGGATGGGGAAACAATGCCTCTCCAGGTACTGGGGCTACATTATCTGACCATCATCTGATGGGGGCCGGTATCCAGCAACAAACACATTTTCCACTGCTGCTTTGTATTAATTGATATCCATGCCCCACATCAAGAACTGAAAATGCAGTGCAAAAAAATGAAAAGTGAGAAAACTGAGGTCTTCTTTTAATATTTATAATAGCTCAAGTTGAAGAGGAGCATGTACCTGAAGGCCAAAGTAGAATGTGACATTAAAATCTACTGTTAGGTGTTGGATGTGACCTTCTTAACCTGCCCACCCCAAACTACCGAATCCTACTGCAAATTTCTTGAGATGTTATTTGGCACCAAAGGAATGCTCCATTTGCCACCAGGATAACAACAGTGTTTTCATATAGTCCTGACCAGGAGCTATTTTTTTTTAAAGTAAGCCAGGCCAAGGCCCTGAGAAATACAGAAAGACAGTTGAGTTGGAAGACTTATTTCCACAGCTCTGATCTTTGCTAGGTATTATCCAGTTTCACAAGGAATGCAGATAATGGTTTCCCTCCCATTCTTCTCCTCTCTCTGTCTCTCTAATGTGGCCGTGTTTGTTAATTTTGCAAATAAGCTTAATGTGGCTCATAACATGAAACAAAGACATTTTAAATTCAAATAATAGCCCCTGGAAATACAGCTATTTAATTTAAATGATCTGGTAGACACATATTTTCCTGTCTCTGTAAACCAGCTCTAATTTTCACAGACTTCTAAGGAACACATTTTCCCTCCTGAATTAAAACTGAGCATGTAAGAATAACAATTCACTGCTCCATCTTGGTGAATTGCACCCCACTTTCCAGCTGCATGAATAGGTGTCCCGGGCAAGTGTTCTAACTCAAAGGAGGAAAGTTCAAGTCAGTGAAGAGCAAGGACATAATGGGCACCCTCTGAAAGGGTGGGGGAACTGAGCTGTCTCTCTGCATGTGAAAAGAATGCATAATCTAAGGGCATCTGATACAGAGATGTGTAAAACTAGCTGCTCTCAGGAGAGGCTAACTGGAAGGAAGCAAGGCCAGAACAATAAATTATACAAGGGACCTTGTATACAGGAGTCCTTCTGAGCATCCTTGTAATGCCTGACTCACTGGCACATCACAAAATGTTCACCCCAAGCCATCCTTCTCACACTATTTGTGACATTATAGCCTAGATTTATTCAGAGCTGTTGTATCACAACACATGTATATGTTGTGTTGCTCTCCAGGTACCTATTTTAGTGCAATAGTTTGGGGTTGGTGGGAAGAGTGGCTTTAGTTGGCTGGTGGATTGAGGAGAAATGGCAGTGGTGTCCTATACTCCAAGTCTCAAGTCAAGTCTGAAGTCTTTACCTTCAAGTCAAGTACTATTTGTGGGGAATCATCAGGATGGTGCCCAGTGATGAGCAGGGTCCCTTATGGCTCTGTCCTGGGACCGATCTTGTACAATCTTTTCAACAATGACCTGGAAGAGGGGGTGACCGGTCTGCTGATCAAATTCTCAGATGATACTAAAGTGGGAGTGGTGGCCACACCTGAGGAGCAGGTACTCCAGATCCAAAAGGATCTGGACAGACCATGGAAGTGGGCAGGAGACAACAGGATGGCGTTCAATGTGGATAAGTGCAAGGTCTTGTGCTTGGGGCATAGGAATGGGTGTCATAAGTACAGGTTAGGGGACAAGTGGCTGGAGAGCAGCACTTGTGAAAAGGATCTCGAGTCAGCAGTGTGACGTGACAGTCAAGATAGTGAATGCCACACTTGGATGCATAGCCAGCAGTGTGGCTTCTAGATCAAGAGAGGTATTAGTGTGACTCTATATGACTCTGGTGCACCTGCAGCTGGAGTATTGTGTTCAGTTCTGGGCCCCACATTACAAAAGGAATATAACAAGGTTGGAATCAGTGCAGTGAATGGTCACAAGGATGGTGCCTGGATTGCAGGGTAAGCCGTATCAGGGGTGACTGAGGGAACCGGTTTTTTTCAGTCTTGAGAAGAGGACACTCAGAAGGGATCTGCTAGCAACCTGTTAGTATGTGAGGGGGTGTCATGCAAAGGTGGGTCATGATCTTTTTTCCCCTCTGCGGATGAGGGCAGGACGTGCGCCAATGGAGCAAAGCTCAGGGGACCAAGGTTCCATTCAGATGCCAGGAAACACTTCCTGACAGTTAGGACCCCTACGGCATGTAAAGGGCCTCCATGTGAGGTGGCTGAAGCCCCATCGGTGAGGGTGTTTAAGGATAGGCTAGACATGCACAGGTAGGCATGTCATGAGTGGAGCTGACTGGAGCCGGGGGTCAGTCTAGATGGAAGACCCCTTCTGACTTGCTCTGTTTCAGTGTTTCTATATTTCTATATCTCTATGTTTCTAAGTCCAGTCGAGTCGCAAGTCAATGCAAGACATTTTGAGTCAACTCTCAAGCCTCTTCTTGTCTCCTCTGCCCCTGCTTCCTTTTTCCCTTCCTCCTTCTGCCTCCTTTGTGCCAAAAGGAAGAGCTGAAACCTTGCCTTGCCTCCTCCCTATCACAACCCCTCCTCCCTATCCTAGCCCACCCCACCCCCTTGAAACTCCCTCCCTCCCACTGCCTCTACTGGGTTCCTGCTCGCTTCCGGCCCTCACAGAGGCTCTCTGCCTGCTCCTGCCCTGCTCCTGCTTGCCCCAGCTGACCCTGCCATGCTCCAGCCCACTCCTGCCTGTCTCCGTGGCCTCCCTCCTCCACCTTGACCACCTTTCAGTGCCTGCTTCCCGGGTATTTGGCCACTGGACCTTTCCTGGACTGTTTCTCTTGCACAATACCAGGCTGCCTGCTGCCTTGTTCCTGACCCCACTGCCAGCCTCTAGCCCTACTAAGCTATGGAGCCCAGCCCAGCACCAGTGCCCTGGTCCTGGCATTCTGCCCACCCCTGTCAGTTGCCTTCATCCTGGTCCTCACAGCCCTAGCTGAGTCACCAACATGGCTTGAATTGGATTTGGGAGAGAGTCACTTGACTCGAGTTCCCAACACTGGGAAGTGGTGCTGCAAGAGGAAAGAGGACAGCCGGATCAGCCTCCAGCTGCTTTCCTCCAGCAGCTGCTTTCCTCCACCCATGACTTTTCTCTCTCTCCCCCTCTCCCCGGCTGATGTCCTGGTGAACTAGAGTAAATGCACTACTACTTTCCCCCTTCCCTTTTTAAAGATGCAGACACATGCCTTTTGGGTAGTAGATCACACTATCTTCAATGGCATTTCCTCAGAAGTAAATTATATTGATTGCAGTGGCACTTACTGTGGAGAGAATCAGCACAGAGAGGGACTGGGATGGCTTCTGCCTGCAGCAGAACGGGGCCATCGATCCTTCTGCCTTCATCCCAAAGGAGGTGGGAGACTGGCCGTGAGCATGACTGCAGCCTTCCCCGCTTCTCTCCCCAGCCCCTTCTCCTTCGCCATGATTGTTTGGGAGGGGCAGGAAGATCTGTCAGGCTTACAACCCTGCTCAAAATACAGCACAACAAAGCACTTCATGCTTTGCTTCTTCCCATTTGTGCATAACCAAAGGCTGGTGTGTGTGTGTGTGTGTGTGTGTGTGTGTGTGTGTGTGTGTCACTTATTTTGCTTTTAAAGGCCATTTCCCTGGACACTCTTTCCAACCCTTCCTACTTCTCCTGCAATTCCATTTGTGCATGATGCAGGATCACACTTTCAACACAGTGGAAACTGTGCTGGTATTCCTTAGCATGGACCCCAGATGTAATAAATACATTTGGCACGAATGCGGCAGCAGTGCTCCCCTGATAAACAGAAGGCACTTTAGTGTGGCTTCTCCCTAGAAGCCTCCTGTCTGAATGTCAGGACCAGTATCCCTGTGTAGCTGCCAAAGCTGGCTCAGTGCTGAAGGGCTGACCTACCTACCCTTCATTCTATCTGCCCTGGGCTCTCCCCAGTGACGGGTAATTACTGGCTGGCTGCCACTTTTAAATATTCAATAATTCTCTTGAACAACACCGTGTCGGGGAAATTGCAACAAGGCTCCAGGTTGCCGGTGGTGCAGTGGGCTTCCATCCCAAACAAGCACACACAGAACAGCAGGTACAGAAGCAAACTCCTTTTTATTCCTATTGCCGTGGTGGTGTTATGATTTAGTTGGATTTAAAGTGCAAAACTGCACATGCTCAGAACATTTTTTTAATGAGAGTTGGCAGACATTTCTGCTGTTGTTCTAGCATAACAGAAATGCAGAAGCAGTTTATAAAAAGGGAATGGTTTTTGGGAGGAGGAAAATGCGAAGAATGGAATGGGAAAAGAAAACAGTTTCTGAACTTTGCAGCTGACGTAATAAAGATGGCCATCTAAAGGGGACCTACAGGAGACATTAAGTCCATTGTGAGCTCCACATGTTTGAGGGCCTTAGCTCAGGGCTTGCTGAACGGTCCCCCTGCCTCAGTGAGTCTGTATCGCCATTGTCACCAGATGCCCTTGCTCTTCCTCCTCCTCCTCGTCTTCATAACATCTCTTGGTTCTCTTCTTTACCACTGTGTGGTCTGGGCTGAGTGAGAGGCTGGTGAACCAGCAGGCTACACAGAGGTGAAGAGGAGGAGAGAGTCCAGAGGCTCTTGTGAGTGGGTCTTTGTGGAGGGTGGACCCTTGGTGGGAGTCTGACCAGGACAACCTTTATGGTGGCCCTGGGGGCAAGCTTTAAAATCACCTCTCTGCATGCTGCTGTCTGCCCCACAGCCCTGCTGATGCCAGGCTTCCACAAGCACGGGTAGAAGGGATACCAGATGGAACGTTTCCAGGAGAGGACCTTCAAGCCTGGGGTTAGTTAGATGCTGGGTTCACTACTGTCTTTAATAACTGAATTTCTTTTTCCATGGCATGCTAATCATTCTCTCT